AGAAGTGCATAAAAGGCAACAGTGTAAATGGTGCGTCTGCTCCGCTGCCCTGCAATCTTGAACAATACTAACTTAATTTTGGCTAGTATTATGTGCAGTCTGGTGTCAAAGTACAAGTCATGCTAGACCGAATTTCACATTTTTATAATTCGTTTTAGACGCGATCACTCTACAGGAGCAATTTTCAACAAGGAAAGTGACTGAATGTCTTGAGAATCCTTGAGCTATTTAAATTTTTAAAAATTGGAATGATACAGAATGTGGAAGGCATGGGTATAAATTGGCTGCTGAAACAAAATGAACTAACTTCTAGAAAATGTATCTTGAGTTAGTAGATTTTGAAACCGCCGGTAGATCTTAATTAGGAGCTGTATTCACCTTAGATCGCAGATGGTAATGAAGAGCTGATGAGTGCATGCCGAAGTGGTAGCATATCGAGATTGTACGCTTTACTATCTGGATTTGATTCCTGCTGGGAATATTAAGTAAGGTTGAAGCTGCTGTCAAACCTGATTAAAAGTACCTCTTGGGAAGTAAGGCTATGCAAAATTCAATGGAACCGTGAGGACTATTAATATTATTGTTAAAAAATTCAACTATCAGTATATTACTACCTTGTACGACCTATTGTGAGCACAGCTCTTATTCCAGCAACTTTGGAAAATTAGGAACAACAATCTGAATAGGAGAAACTACAGATGAAAGCAATATCATCAGCGTTTATCTAGCAGATATCGCAGCAGATAGCAGCAAATCGCAAAGATAAAAAGATAAAAACAGAAGTCTATGAGAAATGGAAGAGTGGCTAAAAGAGTATGTGACCATGGGTCACCCATTAGCTCTTAACCAAGCAAAACATAAATCTGGCCAGCTCACAGTTAGTATGCCTCGATACGAACGCTTCGGCCTCCGCTAGACAGACCTCGAGCTGCTTGCGCGAGATCCAAGCAAGTTCAGCATGTCCAGACGAAAAATCACATTCTGCTACTGCCTCAAATCTTGACACAGCTCCTGTCCTGAGCTCATGTTGTTCACTCCGAAGGATTTTCGGCTCCGGCCTTATCCTCGAAGTAGAATCAAGTGGCGACATAGGCTTAAGTCCAAATGTCGACGCATCTCCTGATTTGGATTCCGCTCCTGTTATGTGCCCAAGTTCATTAGGCCCCCTGGAAACACGCCTTGGGACGACCTTAGGTTCTGCGAGCAGTGGCTGTAGCAACACAGGAGCCGGCTGCAGTAATGGCGAGGATAATGGGCATCGGTACCGCTCATCCGAAGTCTCGGAGACTAAGCGGGCCAACAAACTCTCATCCGGTGTTTCTCGGCGAACCAAAGAAGCGGCGTTGGCTTCCGCATCTAGGACCGGCGAGCTGGGATGAATCAAACGCTCTAGGCATGTTGCTATGTCATTTACGGAATTTCTCGATGCCTCTTTAGGCTCCTTTATGGTCATGGGTCTTGCCGTGAACGTTGTAGTTGCTTCAGGTGGAAGGGTTGATGAAATTGATGCTATTGTCTCGTTCCGACAAGCGTTAAATGGTTTCACCGTCATCGTCGTCACCAAAGCTTGACCAGAGACAGAGTCAG